ATTCCTTCGGCCGTAAATATTTTCTCTGGTGCTCGACGATGAACTTCCCGCACTCGACGACGACGATGAAAGGCTCTGCGTTCGTCTTCTTCGACGAAGGGCTTCGACGATGTTTCCCTTTTCCGAGTCTCTGCGTTTCGTCGTCTTCGACGAAGGGTTTAGGCGCTGTCCTTTTTCGTTCCGGTTTCGAGCTGCGGTTCGTACTTCCTGCACTCGACGACGAAGACGAAGGCGTTTATCGTCTTCGACGAAGGGCTTCGACGATGTTTCCCTTTTCAATTTTGAGTTGTGGTTCTCTCTGCGGTTTCTTGTTCACAGAAGGGTGCGCCTTCTGCTTGATTCCTGCACGACAAAAGGTTTCTTATTGGCATGTCTGCTCTTCCTGCCCGCCAGACAATTTCTCTCCTGTCTTGTGAGGGAGATGGCCTCGACGTTCCGTTCCTATGCAAATGTTCTTGCCGGTGACTTTCCTGCTCGTGCCCCTCCTCCAGGTTCAGCATCTGATTTTGCTATCGGTAAGTCCTGCAATGTTCCAGAATCTTTCCACGAAGCTCTTGATGGTGGAGGTGATCACAAATTTATTAAAAAGCTTGGAAAAAAAAATGAGAAGCCAGCACTTATTCTCACAGAGGTTGAAACTGGCACTCTCGCGTCCTCTTAGCGCTTCTCTCTAGTGGGTAAATTCTTTTATGGTCACCCAAAACTGGAGATCTAGCTGCACGTTATTCAGCTGTAGCCTGCATATATATATTTATTCAGTATGTTTGGGCCCTCCAATATATATATATTTTTTGAAAGCCCAAAAATGCTAATATATTAACTAGAAAGAAAGATACAGATACAATATGATGGAGGGCCCAAACATGACTCTCTGCTCACAACAAAACCACAAAGGGTTCCACAACTAGAAAATACTGAAAAGTACATTAGACATAAAGAAAAAAGCCAAAAAATGCAGAAATACATAGTATCAGGTGGCTAGAGAGCAACCCAATTTGGTTTTGCCTCTGCCTCTGGTTCTACGAAAGGTGTGTCTTCAATAACAATTCCTCTTCCGAAAATTCGCTCACTTAATCTTGGTCTAAAGTGTGCTTGGGATGTGCAGATTGTTGGACATTAGAAGCAACTACCTGTTGTACCGGTTGATCTGTTATTGGATCAAAGGAGCGCTCTCGGGATGTTATTGGATCAAAGGAGCGCTCTCGTGTGTCTTGGCATGTGAGTGAGTCTTCAATAACAATGGATGGAATGAGCACAATTGGATCTGTAACTGTAGTATGTTGTTCTTCTTCAGGAACTGTGGTGTTGGGAAGAGGATCAGGTTGCATTTTCTCAAAAGGGATAGTAGGTGGTTGTTTTTTAGCAATATTTGGCCTTAGATAAGGATGCAAACGATAGCAAATAATAGAGTTATGACTAAACATACTACAATGACAACAATAAGGAGGATGTGGTTCCATTTCAACATTTTGTCAATACCCATTGTGTATATTGTCAATTCATATCTCATCCGGAGCTGGTTGAGTGATATCTCTCTCAACTAACACACAAGTCACGGATGGTCTAATGACAGCAAGCGTAGGACTATCCACCTTGAGAGGCTTACCGTAAGCAGATGCTAAAGAGTAGAGGATTTCCATGTTGAACAGATGTAATTTTAATCCCAGAAACTTTATCCAAACATGAATAATAGGGGGCTCCGCTTTTGGATCAAAACCGATAGTCCACTTCAAAATTTTCATAAAAAGATTGTCAATCTTGATAGCTTTTCGAGAGAAAATGCGAGTGTAATTGGCATCATGAGATAGCTGAATAAGTATATGTCTACCGTCAAGTAGTACAATGTTCCAATTGCCCAATAGTTTTATGGTATCAAACTCCTTCATAATGATCTCCAATTTTGGGTGACCATAAAAGAATTTCCCCACTAGAGAGAAGCGCTAAGAGGACGTGAGAGTGCCAGTTTCAATCTCTGTGAGAGTAAGTGCAGGCTTCTCATTTTTTTCCAAGCTTTTTAATAAATGTGTGATCACCTCCACCTTCAAGAGCTTCATGGAAAGATTCTGAAACATTGCAGAACTTACCGATAGCAAAACCAGACGCTGAACCTGGAAGAGGGGCAGAAGCAGGAAAGTCGCCGGCAAGAGCATTTGTATAGGAACGAAGCGTCGAGGCCATCTCCCTCACAAGATAGGAGATAAATAGTCTGACAGGCAAGAAGAGCAGACAGGCGAACGGGAACCCTCTGTCGGGTAGAAAGCAAGCAGAAGGCGCGCCCTTTTGCGAACAGGAAAGCAGACAGAACCGCAGCTATAGGAAACCACGCCGAAGCCCTTCGTCGAAGACGGCAGAGGCCTTCGTCGTCGTCGTCGAGTGCGGTAAGTTCGAAACCGCAGCTTGAAATCTCGAAAAGGGACAGTGTCGAAGCCCTTCATCGAAGATGACGAACACAAAGACCTTTGTCGTCGTCATGCGGGAAGTTCGTCGAGCACGAGAGAAAAGATTTACGACTAACCGAATGAATCAAAACCAGGGTTTCGCCTTCGGCGAAACCCTAACA